AGGTGGATCCCAAAAAAAGCCACATTCCAGCACTTCCCTACTCAGCCCTGTGGGAACATCCCAAAAAAAGGCGGGAAAAGCCCAACTCGAGGAATTTCCCCCCAAATTCCAGAGGTTTGGAAGCACAGGACAGGCTGGAGTGACACCACTTGCTCTTCCCTGCCTTCCCAAGAAAGTGTGGGAGCTGGAATTCCAGGAAAAAGCGGGAAGCAGGGGGGTTACTCACCCCTTCCAGGGATTTCTGGATGTTCTCCCTGGCTCTGGCGATGTCCCGCAGGATGGTGCTGGCTCCGTTCTCCTGCAAAAAGTGTGGAAAGAACCCACATTTTCCTTGGAAAACTCATGGAAAAACTCATGGAAAAGCAAGCAAAAGCGAGCCCTGACTCCAAGTCTTGTATCCAGACCCAAAATTCCACCACACAAGGAATTTTTTCCCTGTTTTCCTGCCTGGAAACCTTGGAAAGCTGCCAGAGGGTTGGAAGGACTTCAGGATTCCTTAAAAAGGGTTGGAATGACTCCAGGATTCCTTAAAAAGGGTTGGAATGACTCCAGGATTCCTTAAAAATCCAGCCTCAGGTAGATCTTTCTGGAATATTCCCTGTGTTCAGGAAGTGACAACTGTGATTCCAACCTCGTATCCAGACCCAAAATTCCACCACACAAGGAATTTTTTTCCCTGTTTTCTGCCTGGAAACCGTGGGAAGCTCCCAGAGGGTTGGAATGACACCAGTATTCCCTAAAAATCCAGCCCCAGGAAGCTCTTTTCCATAAAATTCCCTGTGTCCAGGCAGGAAGTGACAGCCCTGACTCCAAGTCTTGTATCCAGACCCAAAATTCCACCACACAAGGAATAATTTTCCCTGTTTTCCTGCCTGGAAACCTTGGAAAGCTGCCAGAGGGTTGGAATGACTCCAGGATTCCTTAAAAAGGGTTGGAGTGACTCCAGGATTCCTTAAAAATCCAGCCCCAGGCAGATCTCTTGGAATATTCCCTGTGTCCAGGAAGTGACAACTTTGATTCCAACCTTGTATCCAGACCCAAAATTCCAGCACACAAGGAATTTTTTTCCCTGTTTTCCTGCCTGGAAACCTTGGGAAGCTGCCAGAAGGTTGGAATGACTCCAGGATTCCTTAAAAATCCAGCCCCAGGTAGATCTCTTGGAATATTCCCTGTGTCCAGGAAGTGACAACTGTGATTCCAACCTCGTATCCAGACCCAAAATT